TTGAATTGGCAGGTAGGGTTTGGGCTACGGTGTACTTAGAAGGTCTGCTACCTAACTCCGCCAAAATCCGGGAAGGGTATTTTGCCTGTCCACTGGCTTTAACCCGTAAAAATTCACAAACACACCTAAAAGAGCAGCCTCTAGCTTCCACAAGAAATGTGCATTTCAGCAGTACATCGCAACTCAAATGAGCTCTACAGAAAACAGAAGAAAAGTAGAAGCAATCGAATTGTACAGAGTTAATAAAGAGAGTTACAAAAGTTGAAACCAAGTACTGAATCGAAGCTTACATAGTCTCGGAGGAACGGCATTATAGCACTTTGTCGGCGGCATATTCTCATCGTTTTCCACTTCCATGTTTTCATCGATAACCTCGTCATTGTCTGTAAAAAGAAACGTGGAATATGGTCCAGTGATACGTAGTATAAGCTTGAAATTACGAAACAAGAGACCAAGTCCCGCCTTAAAATGTTCTGTAACCATAAAGAAGGTGAAAATAAGAACAGAGCTATCATGTTATTAACATTTAAGCATATTGCAGACTATGCGCGCTACCTGACGACTTGTAAAGTGGAAATCTGCTCATCCTTCGAGATTTCTCCGTATCCTGGTTTCTCATGATTTGATTGGATATGAATTAGTTGTTACACAAAATTTCAAGAATATTTTCACAAAAAAACCAACGAGGGTGTCGTCGGTTGCCGCGCATAGTGCGCAGATTCACATTTTAAGATTCAAATCACTCGAGGAAAAAAACTCATTCCGTAGTAATGAGTAGTAATCGATATGAAATCCCACAAATTTGGTGGTTCTTTTAAGATAGCAAAAACACAAGTAAAAGATGAAAGCAAACTCAAACCTTGATTGATTGGTTCCGATAAGGACTGCCGCCACAAACGCAGCACACGCTCACGCTCTGCTTTATAGAAAGACCTAAAATTTGGAGTTCACCAACTGACAGATCAGCTCAATAAACATGAATGACAGAAAGGTTTTATACATAATCAACTCACATCATAGTGAACTCGTAACTACTAGTGCTTGCAAAGCTGTTCTCTTCCTGCGAATACATTCCTGAAACAAAAACAAATTAATGGGTGATTAGAGAGAACGAGGTTATGCAACACTCTTACAAAAAATAAATCGAGGAGATCAAACAAGCTAACTGAACAAGAACAAATCTCGCAGCGAAACAAACAATTTAGACGAATT